GCACGCATCCAGTTGGTGGCACACACAAACTGCTGGAGGTCGGCCGCGGTCGTCGGCGGCGACGAATCCACAAGTCCTTGAAGTCGGCTTGGTGAATGGGTGATTCCATCGGCCGAAATCACCTTGCCACACCATTCTGCCTCGCGCAGAAAGAAATGACACTTCTTCGGGCTCAAGTTGAGCCCGAACTGGGCACAGATGGACAGGACTTGGTCCAACAAGTTGAGCAGCTCGTCCGTCGTCTTGGCGGACCCCAGCAAGTCATCGAGCCAGGCCAACAGGCCTCGAAACAGCAGCTCACCAAACATTTGGTGGACAACCGACTGGCAGTACGCGACAGCGTCCGTCTATCCCATGAGCACGCGGGTCGGGGTGTACACGCCGAAGGGCGTCATGAACGAGAAGTACATCTGGCTGTCCGCATGCAGCGGCAACTGCCAGTACCCCTTGGTCCAGTCCAACGTGAAGTACACGTTCGTTCCGACCAGACAGACCATCGCGCTGTCCAGGTTTAGCATCGGCTAAGGCATCGGCTCCGTGTAGGCGTTGATCGGCCTGCTGTCGATCGTCATGCGCAAGTCGCCGACTTCCTTCTTCGGCACGATCCTTGGGGCTGCGGTCCACGTAGCCCGGTTGTTTTGGTATACCATACCATTTGCTTCCAGGGCAGCCACATGGCTGCGCATGTACTCCACATGTAGCGGCGGGTACCGCCGCATCCCACACTTCACCGGCGTCGTGCCACAGAACGAGTATGCTAGCGGAATAAAGATGCGTTTTTTACGGGTACTTGAGAACATGTTTTGTGGTGTTGTGTTTATCACTACCGCTAGGAACACGCGAGACCCAGATTAGACTTGCTGTGCTATATCATCACCAACAACATTCAAGAATTGTACGTGGACAAGTTTGCACGAGCCACGAATGTGTCCATGTTCTATGGTACGTACCCCAGCTAGCACATATACATGCTCTCTCATGACTAGGCCATCGATCTTATCTAGATGTTGTATATGTTATCGAGATGTACTATGCCTAGATGTACTATATGAACAATATGAAGACCGACCTGGGAGACAAGATTCAACGCCGATTGGAAGCGCTGCGCAATGAAAGTCCGGCAGGGCGAATTCAACACAGGATACACAACTAGCTTCACATATTGGACCTGCGACTGCAGAGCCTTCGTATACAGCGAGTTTCTTCTGTGTAAGCACCTTGTTCTTGCACATATAGTTGCGAATGCATCTAACGAGGTGAAGCCCTGCGTATTAAATGATTGCTATATGCACAGTGAGTTCATATATTGATGTAGATGTATGCCCCGCAGTTTAAGGTGCGTGGGTTTACGTACCCATTTTGGACGTTCCCCTCGTCGAAGTCCGAAATGCTAAGTCTGGAGTCCAATCGGTCCATGGTGGACCTTGTCGTACACTCCGCCGAAGTTGACATCGGCAATGTGGGAAGCACTCCAAACGCTACGTCAGTGGTGCAAAACGACCATACCCAACGTGGCACCACCAAGGCTATGTATGAATCGATAGTGAATCTGGCCAAATGGGTTATTAGCCATGCCAATGAAATTCAAGACAACCCACGACAGTTACACATTGCCCAACGACAGCTGCAGCGGGTGTACAGTTACCAAGAGTCCATTTCCCAAGTGGCACGTATGCGGAAGCGACGACGCACCAACGTAGCAGGAAACGAGCTGACGGTGTTCTTTCAACCGCCGTCAATTTAGTTTCCTAGTGTCACTAGTTAGTATACTTTATATAGACAAGTACTATTACTCCCTACTGTTTGTATATGCGCATTCAAGTAGTGCGTCTAGAAAACGTATGCTAGTAGATGTAATAGTATATACGTGTAAAGTATTGCCACTTCATGTCGTAGACATCATATATCGTATTGTCCTTTAACCCAAAATTTGAACATGTGCTGATTCGGCTAATCTATCGAACTACTCATTGTACTGACTTTTGTAAGTCAAAATGGTCCAGTGTCACACTAATTTAAGTCACACTCTAATTCGATGTGCATTGGCCGAAGAGTAGATTTGATTGAGAACTTGATTGAACGAACCATACAAGATCGGGATTTTGAAAAAATCGAGAATCTAATGCCCACATAATTGCGATTGTTATTCAGTTTAAGTAAACAACAAAATATGACACACACGAATGTATTTGTATGACGACCTATACTAATTCTTTTTAGGACGCTTTGTCGCTCGTTGGAGCACAGCACGCACGATTGCAGCACCAGCGACCACATGCCGTTTGGGCGATTTCTTCCTCCGGCTGATCGTCTGGTTACTCGGTTGTTGTCAAGCTTTTTGCCCTTGCATATTCCCGCACCATGGCTCCGGGGTTGCCACCAAGCTTGCTGCACACAAATTCAATCATTACAAACATTGCATCGTTGGCACTCACACCGGTTTCTTCGATTGCTGTTACGACAGAGTCGTAGCCGTCTGTCGTTGGGCAATGATTCGACGTACTTGGGGGAGTCATGCAGATGGACTCTCCAGTGGTCGAAGAACGCTTCATGATCGACGGCAGCCATTTCCCTGTACAAACGGTCACTGTAGGAAGGCAGACTGCCGTCATGGTTCTTGTGGGTGGCGTAGTCCGTAGACCTGTTGGATAAAGTGATCCACTTGGTCTTGCAGGATGGCACCGGGCACACTACGCGGGTCTTCTTGGGATCGATTCTGTGTGACATTGCTGATTTCGAAATGAAACGTGTTCACTTTGATACTTTGACTTGTATTTAAATACTTGACATTTGCATGAACTATTCGTACTATGTATTGTATGATTGCAACTTGCATTCTTGCCAAGAGACTGCTTCCAATCAGTCGTCCTCGTCCAACCAGTCATAGTTTGCCCCAACAGTGATGGTATGTCCCACCAGCATTTCCACTTGAGTTTGTATTTACCTTAGTGAAGTACACCTGATCTGTGAATTGGGTGCGAGTTAGGACCGTTTTTGTGATGGCAAGCAAGCATGCACGTTGAAGTGTCGCAGTGTTGAAGGGTTGCATATTTATGGGCTAGGATGGTCGGCGGTTTGAGGTTCCTCACTCTAACATTTACCCCGAACTGAGCTCATATATTGTGTGGATAGCTGTAGCTGCGAGTGTAGACTAACGAGTAACACAGGTTGATACTTTCAAAGCAAGTGTACTACTACTTAGTAGTTAATATCCAACAATATATTCAAAAGAGTTTTCCTTCTAGGCTTCCCCGATTGCAACGAGTACATGGCCTCTTCGCGCATCCACATCGATCACAGAGTCGATGGGGTCAATTTCCTATGGACCCCCGAGTCCCTTATTATTATAACGCCCGACACCACGTACTGGTTCGTGCTGGGTTCCTTCAGAGAAATCTGGGCCAATGACCCCAAGTGGTTGGAGGGCGTCAAGTCGTTCTCATCCGAGAATGATCCCATGGGGGACGTGAGGATGGCGTACACCAGCGAACATGACCTATGGACTATGATTTCATTCGAAGTTGTCTACTATATATTGTTTGCGGTGGAAATAGTCGTCCATATTGCCATGTGTTGTGGTTCTCCAGTTCCGTCCGCCTCAGTTTCCATTTCGCTGGGCCCTCGCGCCTCAAATACCCCCAAAACACTCGTTGGATCGACGTACGCCAAGCATTCGCATTATTTTATCGGCATTCGCATGTTTCATCGGTTTTGTTGACAGCTGACTCTAGGAATGCAGTCGTACATGTGTGAAAGCACTGATTTCTTACTTGGTGAGGCGGTGTGCCGTACAACTGATTTCTTGCTTGACGAGGCGGTGTGCCGTACAACTTATGGCGATACGCCGCCTATGCGCTCTTGTTCGCGCAAGTATTTGCGATCGAGGCCATTTTTGGCTTTGGCATTTGCCGCGTTCACTGTCAATTGTCTACGAGGTCGACGCATATATAATTGTATACCGCTTACGCTTTGGGCGCAGTCTCCTTGTGAATCGTCCAATTACTCCGTGATTCTTAGTGTGCACTACTTTTGTAGTACCGATAACGGGCCACTTGTGCGGGACCAGTTTGAGGACTTCAAATGGCAGCGCGTTGGGTCCAGGGGCGGAATTGCAGCTGCTGTGGCGGATGGCAAAAATTCATTCGCCAACAGCGGAGCCGCCAGTTCTTGATGAGCTTGGACCGACAGTTGGGTGTATCGCATTAATGGCCCCAGAAACGCAGACAAGTCGTCGTCGGATGCACGCAGCTCCGGTGCGGCAAACAAGTCCGAGTAGTAATCCACCAGTGTGTTGGAGACACCAGTTTGGTCGGATACCAGGTTTCCGTTGGCGTCTTCCAGTTCTTTGAAGACCGTCTTCCGCAGTGGAGTTGGAATTGGTGACGAGAAGTGAAAGCGCGAAGACCTTTCCGCCTTGTACAAGTGTAGCTGGAACGCTTGTTCTTGGAGGAACTTCTTTTGCTGATCGTGCAGGTGACGGATTTGCTGCTGGAGGTCCCGAACGCGATCCACCAAAAACCGGGTCTTGCCGCATGTTGGGAACTTGGAGCAAGGCCGCGATTTCAAGTGCCAATTTCTTCAACGGCAAACGCTGCTTGTCGAGTTGCTCGTCGTGAAACAGTTTGAGTTGCTGCCGGATGTCGGTGACTAAGATGTCGTAGGCTTTGCCGACATTGTGGAAACCATTGGACTTGGCGAGGAAGCGGTCCAAGCAACCATGAATGATAGTTGCGGCTCGAGGAAGTCGCAGCAGCCACGGCGGGGCCTTCCAGGAACCGGAGCCATGTCGCGTAGTCTGTCGTTGGGTAATGATTCGACAAGCCACGTGATCGGCGTGAGGGATATGCGGCAAGTGCGCGGCTTTCCAATGCGCCAACCTTGCCAAACTCGAAGAGCAGAAGATGTAGTCCAGGCGGTTGATGAGCTTGGGACTGGTAAAAGTCTTCCGCAGTGGATTTTGCTGGCGAAACAGGTCCACGATGGACAAGTCTCGCATCCAGGTCAACAAGGCGTCTGTTCCGGCCATGGTGGCGGCGCTGGGGTTGAGCGAGTCCAAATCCTTGTTGAGCGTGCAGTTGAAGTCGCCTCCCACAATGTGGAGGAAATGTGGGGGGAAGTCGCGTGGCAGTTCGTCGAAGAAGCGCGCTCGCTCGGACCATGAAATTGGCGCGTACACGTTGTGGAGAACAATCGTGGCAGGGCCAAGAACACAACGCACTTGCAGATATCGTCCGCGAAGAATCGGATTGTCGTGTGCAACTTCGACGGCGTTCTTCAGGGGTGAGTGGGGGTGGAGGAGAGTTGCCAAGCCGCCCGTGGCGGGTGGGTGATGTGGGCTCCAAAGGGTGGAGTGGGGGCTTAAAGAACACAACCCCGTCGTGGTTCGTGAGACGTTGCCAATGGTAGGACACTTTGTCTTGCAAACTCGGCGCGCGGAAACGCGTTTCTTGGACGAAGGTGACGTCGTGTGTGCTTGAGAGTTTCTGGAGGATGTACCGGTGGCTGTTGGAGAAGCCGTTGGTGTTGAGGGAGATGATTTGTGGGTCCCAATCCACGAGTTCAGATGGGAGAGCAGGAAAGTGGTCGTGACTCATAAGTACACAGTGCAGTAAATAACGTGGTGGTGGTCTTGATGGATGGTTGCGTGAGAAGCAAGGGGTGCTTATGCTTCCACGTGGGCTTTGTCCCATGCGGGAGATAGAATGCAGTGCGTCAAGTCGTCGCAGATGGGGTCGATGTCAGGGGAGTTGTTGAGGACTGAGTCCGCCAGGAATTCGATGGCATCCAGCACATATGTCGGCAAATTCATGGCTCGGAGTGCTGGAGCAAGTCGACTGACCACCTTCAGCAGGGACCAATCCGTTAGGACGTCCTCCCACCGAGTAGCTTCTTGGCCACACAGGATCTCAAGAGCGCCAGGGTTGTTGTACAGGTCAGGCACCCGGTTGGACAGAAACAAGTCCACGGCTGCCAACGCTTGCCAAACTGTGTACTCGAGCTGATCGCTCACCATTTCGCGAGCAATCTCGTTGGGGTCTTGGCATCCTTGAGCGTAGAACGGCAACTGTTGTTTGTAGTCCCCGCCCTCGCCAGCTTCGTGTTTCGCGGCCATGCGACGATTGATAGCTCGCGTCGATACCAAGGACTCTAGCAAGCCAAATTCCGCGTCCACCGGGTACATCGAGTGTGCCACCACCTGCGGTTCGGATTGGAGCAATCGTGTGCATTCCACGATGTCCTTTTCGACCACCTTGTCCTTGATGATCTTGGCCGCGCGTTCAAAGTGCGCGTGCTTGGACTTGTTGGGTCTGACCTTTTTCTTCGTCGGGACAAGGGTGCGGGGATGTTCGGTGTCCTCGAGCACAACTCGTGGGATGACAAAGTCTTCGAGGGAGAGTTCGACGTCGTCTTCCTGAAGCAATGCGTAGCGGTTGGAGGTAGCAAAGGACTGCGACTCTCGTGGTGACAATGGCCGCTTCGATGCTGGTTTGAACCGGTCGCCCGTAACCAATTGATATTCCAGCGGTGCAGATGGGACTTGCTCGTCATGTTCCGGAGCAAAAGCGGGCTGGGTTTGGTTTGAGGGAAGGTCGTGGATTGTGTTGGTCTCCGTTCCGGCTGGTGGGGCTTCCGCGTCGTTAACCTCCGAAGACTGCATGGGAGCAGAGTTTCCATTCGCCGTCGGGGATGTGGTGGTCGCCGAGCA